ACTTTCTGTATGTGGAACACGGTGCCCAGCTGCTGCCTTGCCTCTGTAATTATTAAGCATAAAGAACGGACTGGGGAAACAGCTTTGGAAAAAAAGCCCCTATTATAAATGAATTATTACTGACTTCACGAAGCATTCATAATATTGACAGCCAGCCATGAAAATTAAATGAATGTAATCAGCAGAGTGATTACTTTTCTTAAGAAATGTGTGTAAGAAAAAAACATTTGTACTGCTTGGCATCTGCAGGACCAGAATTCCATGGTGAAAAGTAGCGTATAGAAATGTGGCCAATGTATGCCAGGTGTATATATGACAGGATCTTTGGTTAGCTGGAGGTTTGGGCTTGATTTTGGTAGACCTTATCTTAAAGTGATCTCTTCAGAGAAGACAGGAGGTCTTCTAAATTCAGCTTTCCAAGTTTTATTTGAATGAAAAAGAGAAAGTTTACTTGTTACAGAATGAAAGCTTCATAGTGTCCAGAGGTATGTGCTACCAAAAGTAATCTACTGGGAGTGAGAGTTACACCTAGAACATTTTGATATTTCATATAGAATCATAGAATAGCCTGGGTTGAAAAGGACCACAACAGTCATCGAGTTTCAACCCCCTGCTATGTGCATGGCAGCCAACCACCAGACCAGGCTGCCCAGAACCACATCCAGCCTGGCCTTGAATGCCTGCAGGGATGGGGCATCCACAGCCTCCTTGGGCAGCCTGTTCCAGTGTGTCACCACTCTCTGTTTATAAATGTATATTTTTAAAATGAATACATTTTCTGATAATACATACGTGGGTGCAGGGTAGCATTTGTGGACGTGCTGTGTTTTTACTTAACATCTTATATGTAATCTGCAGCATTTATCTTGTTTAATTCTACGCCCTCATCTGTCTTTGGTCTGACTTTCCCTTGCAGCTGCAGTACTTGCTTATTAATTCCCCACCTTGTTGTCTTCACTTTTTTATTTGCAGCAATAATTCATTGCAAAAGTACAGCCTGAAGTGGAACAGGGAGATGCTCCAGGTGTTCAGTACCTCTCCTTCATTTTTCACCACCATTGTGATGAGTATGTTCAGTACCATAGTTCAGTTCTTTGGATGCAGCTTTGCTAGACAGATGCATCATTTTACTTCTCCATGATTTTTTAATCAGTTCCTTGTAAATAATATTTTATTAAAATATGAATGTAATATGAACTTTTTTTTTTAACATATGTGTACATTAGAAGATTGCAGTCAAAGGATGCTTCCAGACATTTCTTTCTTCATTTGGTAAAGAAATCAGAAGGCAGAGACTGCAGAGGTGATTGAGGAGAAGGGATGGGCTGGTTGGATTAGGATTATTTTGGAAAAAGGATATTAAGAGGGAAACTAAACTGCGCTGTCACTTAGATCTTGTATTGGAGTTGTTGTAGTAACAAGGTTCATGTCTGAAAAATGTATGTTTCTTTTTGTCAGTTTTTCAGATCACTTTGTAAAACACTTTCTTAAAGGCTCCGATTTTATTTTTTTAATTGTTCAGATTTATTATTAGTCACTGTCATTTGAGCCAGTTTCCTTTGAATCTGTGAACGTTCAGTGTACTTCACAAGCTCTGTTCTATGTAGAAGTGTCTAGAAAGAAAACTGAGAAGCTTTTCAGCATGAAAATTAAGTTGTAGGAAAGAGCTTTTTCTGAAAGTGAGTTCAATTTATCTGTCTTTAAGTTTTGCTTTTTGATAAATGTATGTTCTCCTGTGCATTGGATTGAAATCGTATGTACAACTCATTGGTATCATTTTGATTTTATTCTATACATAAAGGTATTTTTACAAAGAAATTTACTGAACTTACTCAACTTTCTGTTCCTTCAGGTAAAAGTGGTTACAGTGGTAAGCTTGAAGTCTAGTATATTTCAGTATGTTAGTGTTGCGTGCTAGCACAAGAGTAAGTCACTGCAAAATGCACTGGAACCTCACAGTATCTGTCTGCTGAGAACTAAGAAAGAGGTTTGAAAGAGCTTTGCTGTTTTACATCGGCTGGTTGTGAGCATTTGTAATGAGCTGCACCTGAAGTCGTTATGTTAAGTCCATACGTTGAGCTCTGCTGTGGGGCTGGATAGCTTCTGTACCAGAGTACCAGTAATGGGCATGTGAGGCTGGCAGCTGTCTTTCAGTAAGGTCTGTACATCTGTCAGAGAGGCATTAGGAGATTAGGGAAAACACCAATAAAACCCTTCTAAAACAAAAAGAACCCAGACCAACTGGTGATGTAGTCGCAGAGGGAGGCTTGTGAACATAGAATACTGGTGTTATTATGTTATGTGTCATTTCTGCTTGGAGATTTCCTGGTTCCAAGTAGAAAAACATAGGCATTGGATGTTACCTGTTATCAAAGCACGATACTTCTTGCAATTTTACTTTGCACTGTGATTACCAGTTTGTATCATAAAGAAAAGCAGACGTGACCAGAACAAGTTTGGAGTTTTTCTCTTTTTTGTTTTGACAAGTTTGCCCATACAGTTTGCCTCGTTGCTGACACAGTTAAGGCTGGCATGAAATTCGTGTAGCATTCTACAGTAACTTTTCTTAAGATGAACTTAATTATATTTTTCCTTTCTTTCCCACACCTCCAGATACTTTGTTGAAAATAAAAGTAAGCCTTTATTAGATGTTTTAATACTTCAATATGTATTTTTTTTAATTTAATGCTGACACTGCATTAAAATTAATGTAGTTCTGAGTCACTGGAGTCTGGTTATAATGACATTGGATTGAAATTCGTAATGGATTCTGGTTTGTTTTCAGCCTGTGTTTGCCATTGACTGGGATATACTTGTCAGCCAAAGTAAATGCAGGCAAGCCATGTAGGACAATGCAAACAAAAACCCATTATGTTTATGTAACATCATAGATTTTATTGATACCATTTACATGTTGTAAAGTTATGTACTGGATTTGTGTAAAGAAGAGTGCAAGTTAGAATAGGACATAAGTGCAATTGGTTGCTTCTTAAGAGCATTATTTCTCTCTTTTTTTTTTTTATTTTTTTAGTTTGAGTTTACAGACTGTCTCCAGGAAGAAATTGCTTATCAGTTAATTGTCGATTGATTGCTGGTAACAGTGAATTCTGAAGTCCATTTTCCTCTTTTGTATCGTTTGAGAGCAATCAAGAAAGCAGTAACATGTTTGATCTCAAAAAAGGCTTAGATTTCTCAGGCCCTTTGTCTCCTCATAGACTTCAGACTGGCTCCTGCCTTAGGAAGAGCACTAACAGAAGTGGTCTCCTTTGTGACGACCAAGGGCTGATGGCTTTCTGTGACACGGATTTCAGTACAGTCTGCTGTGAGGCATTTGAATGTGTGTGACATCCAGCCAGTGCAATGACTTCAGAGTGGCCTGGTTTTGTTACCTCTAGACTTCAAGAAGCATTTGGGTTTTCTTTTCCTGCATTGCTCTCCCTGTTGCAGTTCTGCAGGGCCACATTTCTTCCATCTTCTGTTCCATAGATGAGTGAAACCTGTGGAATTGTGGGATGAACAATTAAAAGGATGATATGAAGTGCAGCGTTAAAACTATACCACTTTTTCCCACTTAATTTACCTTGGATGCAGCTGTTGCAGAGGTTGCCTCCTTAGAAGTAGGTGATTAGTACATACAACGTGGTTTTGTCAATTAAACTTTGCAAACAACTCAGTTGACCTGTGGGGTACGGTTTGATAGTTGTTGGATCCTGCCATAATGATGTTGCCGACCATCGAAGAAGGTTGAGTAAATGTATTTGATGTCAGGTCATAAAGTGTGTAGCGTATTTATTTGTATCACCATCCAAAAGTATTCTTTATGCTTTTCAGTAATTCTAGTTCTGTTATGCATGTGGTTTAAATTTGAACAGATTTGTTAAAGCTACTCTCCTTAAAACTGCAGTAAAACTGTTAACAGCATCCAGTGTTTACCAAGTATTCCTTGGCAAGACATACTCAGTCATGTATTAAGGATAAGAATTTCCATCTTAGGTTAGCTTTTATACTGGTATGTCCAAGTTTTAAGAAATAAACATCAATTCTCTGCTATTTAAGTTTTTCTAGTCGAAATTAGCAAAGTTTTCCATTTGCATATTGGATTATTGCTTACAAGGCCATTTCCTAACGGATCGTTTGTGCCTGAAAAACAAACAAAAAAAAAAGAAAAAAGGGAGATCAAAGGAAGTGAAGCATTCTCTTGTTTGAAGGCATCTTTCAGAATAAAAATAGGCATGTCATTCATGCAGCTTTTCTACTTTTCTTAGCCTCGTGTACATGAACACTGGATAAACTAGGCTGTCTGTGCATTCTTTTGATGCACTTGGAAAACTAACCAAGCCACTAAGAAGTTGACAAAGGAAAAATAATAAGTAGTACATTCTACTTTCTGTACTGGGCAAGTACTTGTTACTATTTTGTGTATTAATGCATATTATGTGTTTGTAACCCAGCAATGTATCCTTACTGTTTTAATAGAATTATAGTTGATTTTGCTATGGAAAGAGTTCATGTGGAAGTAATAATTCTGAAATTTTGTTTGCACAAATTCAGTCTTACTGTATTTCATATCTATTCGTATAAAGTTATAAGTGACAGTATTTTTGGAAGTAGAAATTAATCAAGCTTGATCAATCTAACAGTTCTTTCATCCTTTTTTGGTGTGCAAGTTAACAGTGGCATATCTCAAATGCAGTAAAAGTAGTGATATACTGTAAAATTAAGTCTTGAGTGCTTTTGCATTTGTGTTTTCCACTTATGTCTGTACTTCTTTTGTGAACTGTATTTTCTTAACAGCAAATAACTTACTACTACAACAAACTGTTCAGGACCTCAAACACAAAGTAGTAACAGTTCCTATAAGGGGTCCATTTGTTAATCAGAGCTCTGTTTTATGACAAGTATTTGAATGATGCTTTTCTTTGGAATTGGTGTTCAAAAATAAATCCTGTTTCATATAAAGAGATGCCAGACTCACAAAGATTTCCTTTCTTGTTTCATAGACGTTCCATCTTCAGAGCAGCCTGAACTGTTCCTAAAGAAACTTCAACAGTGCTGTGTCATTTTTGACTTCATGGACACGCTTTCAGACCTTAAAATGAAAGAATACAAGCGCTCCACTCTTAATGAACTGGTCGACTACATTACAATAAGCAGAGGCTGTTTGACAGAGCAGACTTACCCTGAAGTAGTTAGAATGGTGAGTTTCTTCTTTCTTGTGGTCTCTTTAAATCTGCTTGCAATTCCAGTTACACATTGTGGGTGAAATTGAACCCTGGAGTAGGTGGATTAAATGAAGCCTTTGGTTTTTATTTTCTACTTGACATCACTTGGGGATAATTCTCCAAAGATAAAATTATTAATTTTTATATGTGCTTAATTAAAGTCAAGACGATGCTTATTATAGCGTCAGAAATGTACGAAAGTTTCCTGATCGAAAAACCTAGCAGATGTATTATCAGAGTCCATCTCTTTCCCCCCATACCCTTCCCCATTATAAATCATGGATTAATTTTAGAAGTTTTTTTCCTTCCTTTGAACTTTATCCAAGCATTTGATTTTGTAATTGAAGCTCTGAGATAATTACTTGTGCACACTTCAGCCTACTTTTAGACAATAAATGGTAAAGGTGCTGTATAGAAACAGTGTGAAAATGTTATGGTTGTGTTATGTGGAGTCGTAGAAGTTGCTGTTTGTAAGCAAGGTTACTCAACAGTAAAGCCATACCTTATATATACATATAAATTGTCCAATAATAGTATTTTCAATCTAAAAATGGTAACAGTATCAGATGCTGTATGGTGAAGAACATCCTTTGTAGTTGGCAAAATCAATCAATGCATTGAAACATTTATTCTGTTCTACCATATGGAACTCTTATAGCCTGTTATCTAAATGAAAAGACAGTTAAGTTATGAATTTGGTGATGCTGAAACATGAATAGATTTTATAAAGTGTTGTATGTGTTCCTTACTGCTTTCCTGGAACACAGTTATGTGCTGTATTGCTTGTTTGTAACACTTAATAGTAGATCAAAATTGTGACAGGCTCATCATGCACTTAATAGTGAATTTTTAAAAAAGGAAAAACAGAATGAAGATGTATGGAAAAATCTTTATATGGCTTCTTAGTCTGACAGCATTTTTAGATGTCTGTTATAACATGATCAGATTCTCCTCCTTTTCTCTTGCCCTCCCTTTTGTTCTCCTCTACTGGAGAAGTCTTCTCAATGAGCCGCTTGTCACTCTGCTGTGTTACATGTTCAGCATGTGGTCGAATGCAAATTCAAGTCTGAATACAGAACTACTAGTTCTTTGCTGAGTTCTTCTGCTTATACTAAATTTGCAGCATCTAAGTGGTTTGCAAACATTACTTTTTTCTTTCTTGTACCCCTTGAAATGAACTGATGTTGTCATATGATCTGTGTAGACAGGACACTGATGCACAGATAGCTTCAGTAACATTGGGTACCTTTTCTGTTTGTAGAAGACACCCCCACTCTCACTTTCTGTGACAATTTAGGATTTGTTTTAGTGTTCCTGTTACTGAGGTTGTATTTTCTCATTGACTTCGCATACAGCTTTTTACTGTAGCAAGAAGTTAGACGTATTTATCTGTAACTGCTCATAAAGTTCAGTTTTGAACAATAAATCATAACCTATGAAGCAATCTGTACATGAGCTGTAATGAGACACAGAACCCTTTTGCTTGCATTTTCTACAATCCCTGCAGTCATGATGCATTGCCTAAATAGTTTGAAAAGCACAGTTTTAAATAATTGACTTAAGTATAGTCTGTAAGTGTGATACAGAGCAGTCACTGGAAGTGAAGGTAAAGTGTGAACTTTTTCCAGTAGACTTCAGAGATGTTTACTAATGGAGCTCCAGGAATTTCATCCCATCTCATTTTTTATGGAAAGCCGTTTTCTTTTCTCTCGTATTCCTTTCATTTCATTGTACCCTTTCCCATCTTTCTTTCTTCTGCCTTGTATCTGGGGGCTAATGCTGAACTCAAGCTACGTTTTAACCTCAGTACCAAGAAGTTTAAGGAAAGGGAAAGACTGAGAGTATTCTCTAGTCCCTTAGCTGGCTGGTCAGTGGCTCAAGATTCTTACAAATAAAAAAGGTTATTATTTTTTTTCTAAATAATTTCTGGAGAAAATTAGAATCACAGGATATGCTGAGCTGGAAGGGACCCACAAGAATCGAGTCCAGCTCCTAAGTCCACACGGAGCCACCCAACCCCAACCTGATGTCTGAGAGCAGCATCTCAGTGCTCCCTGAGCTCTGGCGCTCAGGGCTGTGCCTGCTGCCCTGGCAGGCAGTTCCATGCCCACTGCCCTCTGGGACACAGCCTTTCCCTGACCCCCAGCTGATCTGACAGCTCCATGCCGTTCCCTCAGGCCCTGGGTGAGCAGAGGGCATTAGTCCATATTAGGGGCAGGAAGTGACTTGAGCTGTGGTGTGACATTTGGTGTAACTTGCTCTTTGCAATAAATGCATGTTCTTGTTTCAAGCATGAAGTGTTTTTATCTGTTGTGCTGAGGCAGGCTGGACTGTACACAGTTGACTTCATGAGCTCACTGTGCAACAGCTGCTATTATCTGTACCTGAGAATTTTCATTGAGGTCTCCAACTGTGTTTGCAAATGACCTGTCAAGTTGACAAGCTCTGACCTGTCACAATGGTGAAGAGAAGAGCAGTTTTGTGTCCTTTCCAAATTGACTGCCTGCCACAGTTGTCATCAGGAGTGTTTTGACTGAAAGGCCGACAGCTCAAAACACAGCAAAATGGAGCACAAATGTTTTTTTTTTTTCCCTCTGGAAGGTTTAGTCCCTGTTGTGCTTTGCACTTGGTTCCCACACAGTGACATATGAATGCAGGGAGTAATATTTCATGCTTGGTTCCTTGGACTACTGAAATTTGGAGTTGGGAAGTATTCTAGAGGAATCTCTAGAGAAATCTAGAATCTACAGGAATTTCTAGGGGAAAAAGCAAGAAGCTTGTGTGCAAGTTGTGCTGTCATTTATGAGAAGAAAAAAAGATGTGGAAGTCTGAAGCTGATATTTAAACTGTTACTAATATTTATGAAGAAGAATTAATGACTAAACTGCTTTCTTTAATTAACTGAAGTGCCAGAAGAATTGATGTCAATGTGGCAGCCTTTTCCTAAAGTTTTAATAACTACATGTGGATTAGTGTTCTCTGTTCTGTGTCCCAAAAGAAGTTCCAAGATTCTTTATTACTTTGATTTCTAAAATGATCATTTGGGGTAGCCAGCATAAAAGCACTTGGGTATTTTTAAATAGTCATCCTAAATTCATTAAAACATTAAGGCCTTATCATGGTATCCCATAATTTCACATCAAGGTATATACAATATCACAAGAGAAAGCACTTAGATATTTGACAGTCTTTGTGTTTGTTTCTTTAAACCACTCACTGTGGCTTCACATATACAGAAGTGCTGAATTTGTTATTTTGATAAAAACGAAATTAACTAATGGCCACCAGACAAGCTTACAGTGGCCTTGTCATCAATATCACTGAATGGGAAGAGTGGTTGGGATTTGTGTTAATGATATAAGCAGGACAGATTTATTCCCACGAATGCTGCTGGGTGCCTTCCCTTGTTTTGATGCCTTATGCAGAAGGGCACATGACATTCTTCAGTCCCTGTAAGAAAGGTTCTTGCCAGATGAAACTCGCACTGCTAAGAAGGAAATGCCAGGAATATGACTTTATGAGCCAATCATTGGACATTTAATCTAAAATTTGAGCCTGTTTGAGCAAAATAGGAGACTTAAACTAAAGCAGCTGATTTTTCTGGCAGAATATGCAATGATAGATAAATGAAATAAATGTTTATTGTCTACGTGGTGTCCTGTGGGCTGTTATGTAGTACAGGGTTTTTTTTGTGCTTTCTGGGAATTAAGACTTAGATTGAAGATACTTGAGAAATCAAATGAATGGGGAATTTGACAAGCTCTTAAACTGAGAAACCTGGATAAATCTCCTTGTAGATGAGCAACACTTAAACTCTCCTTCTTGTTTCTCCAACAATTGTAAACTCAATCCCAGACTTTTACTGTGATGTTTATACAACATCCATGGATGCTTGCCAGCCCAGAAGAGGTGGATAATGAAACTTTTTTGAGATGTATCTTGTGGAATTCCTAATAGAACATTGTTTTGGTTTTCTTTCTTTTATGTGCAGAGATGACTCTAGTATCCTATTCTCTACACTTTTTTTTGTGTGTAAAACTCTCTGTATTCAATCTTACCTTTTTGATCCTGCAAAACCACATTTGTTCCTGTTGGTTTAGATACTGGATTTAAAATAGTACTGAATGTCATTTTGAGTTTAAGAGCAATAAACACAATTACTCTGCTAGAAATTGACAGATAATGCCTCTTTTCAAAAATGATTTTTATATAACTTCAGGAACTGAGTAAAATAGTAGGAGTTAATCTTGAGTTCAGCTTGCATCAGGAGATGTTGGTTTGAATGCATCTCAAACACTGAAAGAAAGATGCAGTGTTTTCAACTCCCCCAAAATGAACTTGGAGTGAGATCTGGCACATGGATGCAGCTGTGATGGAACAAGCATGCTATTGAAATGAATAGAAATAGAAAAAGAATCATTTCATATTTTAAGTTCTCTGCTCTCCAATGTGAGACTTATCAATTAGGTAGGAGCAAGAAATGAATCTAACTGGTTTCTTTTATGCCTTGTTTTCAAATTCCTCTGTTAGATGCTACTTAATATTCATATTCTTTATACACCTTGTTTGTACAAAACCCACAATACTTAGTGAAAGAAGAGACTCCAGTGTGCTGTACTCTTAAAAAAAAAAAAATCAGTTGGAGGCAGCTCCTCTTGCACAGCTGTCCCTGATAATTTTTCTTGACAGTATGTAATTACATTTAACTTTATCCATTATTCTTCCTGTTGGTTACATAGGCTTCTCTTTCGTCAGATGCTGTCTGCATAATAGTACAGTGACTAAGTCTAAAGCAAAAAAATAAACTGTTTTGAGAAGTGCTTGTGTCAACTGCAGCTTTTTTTGTTTGTTTGTTTTGTTTTGTTTAAGAGGAGCATACACTCACTCCCACATTTCGACTCTGTCAGCTTCCTAGCACTGTGCCTGCAGATCGACTCAGCATGAATCTTCTGGCAGATTGTTTCCCTGGATTTTG